ATAGGCGATTGACTCCTGTTTCCAGTAGACGAGGTTGTTTTTGCTTTTTCTGCGTCACAAACCAGAAAACAGTAGAAAACTGCATTTGTTACTTTCCTTACAGTTATATATTTGCACCGAACCTCACAGCAGTTTGTCAGCGCTGGAGAAAGTTCCAGTGACAGGTCTGTTATTTCCTCTTCCCCAGAGACTGCAAAATAAACAATAAATAAAGTATAACTTCAACGTACGTCGGCGTCGCACCAGAAAAGGAGCAAAAATTAGTGCGTCCACCCGGGAGTCATGTTTCCATCACATGCATACAGATTGAACCCTTTCCAACTGCACACCAGAGCCAGATGTTGATGGGTGTTAGTGGGTTTCTGTCCACTGTTAAAGGAGCTTTACTCTGTTGTGGTTCCCACTGTCATTGAACTTTCTCAGCAGAACCAGAAAGTCTGGAGGGTTTTTCTATCTATGAGAACTCATTTCAGGCAAATGTGATGGGAAAATAATAGATTCTATAAATTATAAGAAGAAACTTGCTCAATATTTTGAGTTACTATCTCAAAATAATGACTCAGTATGAGTTACACAATCTTTTTATTTCATCACATTGGCAGAAATCTGCTTTCACATACAGCAACTACAATTCATTTGACTGAATGGGAACCGGATTAGAGTCCAACAATACAGGCTGGACCCTCGCTGACTAATCAGACGCGTTGAGCAGGAAACTAGTCAGCAGATCCGCTGCCTGCTGAGTCCGACGCTGTACTGTAACTCACCAGGACAGAATATTTAGAGGGACACATTCAGGGTTTTGGTCCAAAGGTCAACAACATGTCAACAGTCACAACAAAGGACACATCGATTTTATAAGATAATTGTTAACAGATCTGCACGTTTGTGCTTTACATCAAAGCCAGTTAGCTTAGCTTAGCAACCTGGTATAGGTATGAACTAGCCTCTCTAAAACTTACTATTGGACCTTTGGTTTGTTTATGTAAGATTCTTTATGTATTATTTTTATTTATTAATCACATTTTATTGCCAATGAGGTTATAACGTAACCTTCCCTACAGTGTCAACAGTGTGCAAAGCTAGCTAACCTTACCTAATAAATGTCTACAAACGGCCGACACCCACCACAACAGAGTCCAACACAGAGTCCACCACAGAGTCCACAACACAGAGTCCACAACACAGAGTCCACAACACAGAGTCCAACACAGAGTCCAACACAGAGTCCACAACACAGAGTCCAACACAGAGTCCAACACAGAGTCCACAACACAGAGTCCAACACAGAGTCCACAACAGAGTCCACAACACAGAGTCCACCACAGAGTCCACAACACAGAGTCCAACAGAGTCCACAACACAGAGTCCACAACACAGAGTCCACCACAGAGTCCAACCCAGAGTCCAACACAGAGTCCACAACACAGAGTCCAACACAGAGTCCACAACACAGAGTCCAACACAGAGTCCAACACAGGGTCCAACACAGAGTCCACAACACAGAGTCCACAACACAGAGTCCACAACACAGAGTCCACAACACAGGGTCCAACACAGAGTCCACAACACAGAGTCCACCACGTCCAACACAGAGTCCACAACACAGAGTCCAACACAGAGTCCACCACAGAGTCCAACACAGAGTCCAACACAGAGTCCACAACACAGAGTCCACAACACAGAGTCCAACACAGAGTCCAACACAGAGTCCACAACACAGAGTCCACAACACAGAGTCCAACACAGAGTCCACAACACAGAGTCCAACACAGAGTCCAACACAGAGTCCAACACAGAGTCCACAACAGAGAGTCCAACAAGCCACACAGAGTCCACAACACAGAGTCCACAACACAGAGTCCACAACACAGGGTCCAACACAGAGTCCACAACACAGAGTCCAACACAGAGTCCACAACACAGAGTCCAACACAGAGTCCACAACACAGAGTCCAACACAGAGTCCACAACACAGAGTCCAGAGACAAAGCTAACATTACTGCAAAGCTTGTGGAGTATAGTGATATTGTTGTTTAGCTTGTGTTGTCCGGCTGGCTGTGTCTTGGCGTTGCATTGTGGGTCCGGCGTCGGTTGCTTCGTGGTGTTGGCTGATGGGTGATTTGTAAAAGGCGAGCTAGTTAGTAGCATGGAGCTAATGGTCCAAATAAAATATAGGAACATTGTAGATAGTAACGTTATTCTAAAGTCAAGTGTTACTGCAGTTCACTGAACGGCCACTGGTGGCGCTGTTAACAACAGTTTTCTGAAAAATTAAGTCATAAAAAATTACATTTTTGCCGTTTTATGGGGAGTAACGGGGCGGTTGACTTCCCGTAGTCCGGCATAAAACCCCTTGTTGAGCTGTTCCTCTAAACAAGGTTGTCAGTGTCCTTATGAGTTGTCATGGTAACCAATAAAGGACCAGCAGCATCAGATATTTGGGTTGAAATGTTCAGTGTAGCTTATTTTCTTGGCCTAAAAGTGGTGGACAAACATTAAATGACCTATTTCCTTTCGTGCAGGTCAGTAGAGGTAACAGTGACACACACACACACACACACACACACACACACACACTGTCCATATCTGGAGTTAAGCAACCGCAGCAGATTGAACACGCTGTACTGTGCAGATAAGAGTTCTCTGTGCATATACATTACTATATGTAGAGTGTGTGCAGACCACATTTAGTTAAACATCGTCCTAAATACAGCTCAGTTGAACACACTGAAATAAAAACACTGACAATGACGGCGTTCATTCCTTTACACCGTTCTCTTGAAGCTAAACTCCGGATTCAGACCTTAAAGGGGTCAAACATTGTGCTCATATGATGCATGGTTTTTACCCAAAACAACATGGGATTAGCATAAAGTGGGCACGTCTGCAAAGGCGAGACTCAGGGGAACCAATTCTCATTGAGTTATCTTAAGGTCAGAGGTCAAGGGGATCCCTTTGAAAACAGCCATACTAGTTTTTTAATCACCAAAATCTAGATTTTAAAGTATTTAGCCTCCTTCCCAACATGCTTGCATGACATGGTCAGTATTAATGGACGCATTAGATCATACGGTTTAATCTGACACGAGTATCTTCACTCCAGCTTTAAAATAACTGAATCAGTCTGGCCGTAAATATAAAGTGTGTCAGTAAATAAACTCCTTCCTCCTTTCTCGTACTCTGATATGCTACGTGCTAGCCTCGTCTACGTTGAAAAAGACAATCGCATTTTGAAGATTGTTAAAAGATACAAGCGACATATAGTCACATCTTAAAGTTGGTAGATCTCTCTTGAGCAAAGATGTGACTATTAGTTATTCTTTTACGATCTTCTGAGGGGAACGAGTTGGTACGAGTTTCAGGGGCACTAAACCGAAAGTGTTTGGTGGAAACCCGACCTTACAAATGAGACATAACGTCGGTATTTAACGACCTGTGAATGAGAACGGACTGATGAAGATGAGACACATGAACAGACCACACACACACACACACACAACCATGTACACAGACAGTGAAGTAACACACACACACACACACACACATACTTCAAACAGTTGAGCTTAGTGGGATCACTGCTGCCCTCTCCTCCCTCCTCTTGACCTTTAACCTCCATCTCTTCTTTCTTCCGTCTCGCCGTCGTCTCTGTCTTTCATCTGTCTCACATCGAGTTTTAGCCTTTAGCTCGTTCTCCATCCTGTCTATGTTTTTTCTTTTAACTGCTGAATTACGAGAATAAATCGATTGATCTCACTGCAGACGAACACACAACAATAATATGTTTTTTTTATTCTGTCGGGAGTCAAACTGCACAAAGTTAAGTGCAAAATTAACACAAATCTGTCACAAACTGCTTAAATTTAAAAGTTTAAGAGATTTAGTTTTTTACTAAAACTAAAGTTAACAAAAAACAATTAAATTCATTGCCAATTCATAACAAACCTTATCTCAGGACACTTTTAAAATAGAGCAGGACTCCTTATAAAATAATGTAGACCCAACAGTTCCCACCATGAGCAAGCACTTGGCGACAGCGGCAAGGAGAAACATGCTGCGGCCAACACTTTTGCCCTTAAGTAAGATTTTGAATACAAGAATTTTAGTTGAGGTATGAACACATGTACTTTTATTTTAAATGATCTGTTTACTTCTTACTATATTTATACTCACCACTCACATCCAGCAACCCTACTTGCTCATGTTATATCAGAAATGTCCCCATTAAACTACATAACTGGTTGATTTGGGAGCAGAAAATTATTTTCAGTGCAGCTTTTTGATACTAAACTCCAACAAATCACTGAGTGCTAATAGTTATATTTGGTCCTTGTACTATTTGAAGATTAAGGCTGTGCTCAAACATTTAAAGGTTAATACCAGCTGAAGAGAGAAGCACTCGGGCCACCGTTTATATCCTGTGAGTTCAGGTGATCTGAATGAGCCGACGACCCTCCTCGTCAGCCGGTTACCTCCCGAGGACAAAGCCGGAGGAACGACTCTGGTTTTAGTAGCAAATATTAACTGATGAGGATAAAAAACCTTCCCACAAAAGATATTTCAGCTTCCTCTGAGTCTGGTTGTTGTCTGACAAACTGAATTTACATTTTATGTCCAAACCCAGAAAAGACAAGGAGCTGCTTTATTTTAAATTCATTTCATATAAAAACTAAACAATGAACAAATAGATTATTTCTTCCTCCTATCCTGTACTTAGATATGCTACGTGCTAAACTAATCTATGTTGAAAATACAAACACATTTTGCAGATAAAGTCAACATAAACATGCAGTCACAGCGAGCTAATCAACATCAATAGTTAACTAGCATTTTTCTACAGAGCAGAATGCTAGCTCACTAGCCACATAATGTATATCAATCATTAGTTAGCTGGTTAGTTAATGTTTTGTTAACATTAACTGACTTTATATAGATGGTAATGGTGGCTAGTTATCTGATAGTTAATGTTAGCAAAACAAACACAAAGGACACAGAGCTGCTTTATTTTAAATTATACTTTATTTCATATAAAAACAAAACAATAAACAAATAAATTAGATATTTCTAAAATAATTCTCTTGAGGAAATGTTTAAGAACACTGTGGTTGTTTACAGTTTGTATCTGGGAGACGAGCAGATAACTGGAATGTAATTAAAGATTCAAAACTTTAAGAGCTTCATTTCAAAATGACGACGAAACACACGAGCAGAGACGACACATGAATCCTTCGTTGTCGGGTTTTACACACAGGAAGATGCATTTTGGAATGAAACCCTTTTATTTAAACTCTCGAAACACTTGAAAGATAAAAAGGACCAGAGAGTAACGGCAAGATAATACGTTTGTTCAGGAGACGGAAGGAGGCGGCGAGCTCGTCAGACCAGCTTTTATAATAATCAATTAAATCAATATATCAGTAAAAGTCTCAGTGAGCTTCCTCCTTTCCTGTGCTTAGATATGCTATGCTAGGCTAATCTGTGTTGAAAAGACGACATTTTAAAGAGCGTTAAAAGATAAGAGAGACATATATAGTCACGTCTTAAAGAACGCAAAACGTCAGTTAACTAACTATTCTCCTTCAATTGTTAGTTAGCTAACATTTTGTTAACAGTCTTCAAACTGTGGTTGTGTTTTCAACATAGACTAGCTTAGCATTTAGCATATCTAAGTACAGGAGAAACTCACAAAACTCGCCGAACAGGGTTGATGGATCTCACATCAGCCGATCAGACAATTTGATCTCTTTTTGTTAAAATCTGCTTCCACACAAACTGTCAGCGGTTAATTTGTTTGTGTCTCATTTGTTTGGGCCTGTGGTCAGATTCGGGGACCCGGTTGGCATTTTTTTACCCCACAGGGGAATTTTCTGCAGCTGGTCCCGTTGGCAGCGGCGAATCTGAATTAAGATTTGTAATTTAAAAGGTGGTGGCTATGGGGGATAAAGATAGGGGCGTTTGGGAGAGAAGAGGACACATTAACATAATAAGAGCCTCTTCATTTGCACACAAGCCCAAGCTATCCCCACACCACCACCACCCCCTACAACTCCCTCTGGTCCGTAGTCACACCCATTAAAAGCCTGCAAAGCCTTCATTGTCCGGCCAGGCTGCGGACCTGAGGACCCCTCGCCAACAGATTGGGCTGGGTGAAGGGTTACAGCCAGACAAAGGAGGGTCCCTCCCCCTTCTCCTCTATTTGAAATCAATCACACTGGCTTTCACATTCAGTACCCTGCACCCTCCCCTCCCTGCCCTCCTCTCCTTGTCAGTGACAGTAGGCTTGGGCCAGATCCCCAACAGAGTCCCCTTGCTGAATCGTCAGACCCTCCTTTCAGGACGAGTCCCACCCTGGACACACTGTCCCTGAGGCAGAGACTGAAAGCTGTTGTTAGAGAAAAGACCACGTAATGTCTCTACGTGTAAAGGAGTCAGCATCGTGACCTTTTTCGGTGTTTTAAGAACTCGTTTTCTAACTATAAAAATGCATCCAAGCTGTGGTTTTCGTCCAACAACAGCAACAAGAACTGGGCTCCTGCTCGTAATAAACCACAAATTATTGTGGAGGTCGAAGCAGTTTACTACAAAACAGAGTTTCATTCCAAAATTTACCAAATTTAAGTGTCTTTAGACAATCGACTATTATTTTTGACCACATACGTTTGAGGTTTGCTGAGAAATGAGAATTTTTTGTTTGCAGAAGCTGCTCATGTAAACCAACTTTTAACTTAGTTTGTGATTTCTGACTCCACTGTTGGTTTTATTTACATTTTGGGAGCTCATTGGAGTCTAAATTGAATTATTTGGTGGCGTTTTGGAATGAAATGGGAACATGAAGACAGCGGTGACGGGTTTGGCACTTGATTAAATTCCTCTCTTCCTTCTCGCCCTCCAATAACCTTCATTTTTGCGTCATTCAGAATAATTTATAAAAGGCAATCGTTTTTTCTGTTGTTGATATGTACATACAATATTTTAATATTCTAATATATTCACAGGAAATCATAAATTCAGGCACTTTGCTGCCGCTACAGCAACTTTCTTAGCACAAGAGATCCTGAGATTTAAGACTCTTTTTTTTTTTAAATAAGCAACACAAAAGTAAAATAATCTTATATAAAGAGATTTATATTTAACAATCAGTTTCTTCTTTTTATATCATAGCAAAATAAATCTTTTTTTTTTTTGTTAAAATGTCTTTTATCACCGAGGTTTTGAGCCCTGGTTTTTGGGTTGTGTGAGGCTGTCCGCCACCTCTCTGAAGGAGGCGTTCGAGTACCAGGGTCTCTTCTGTTTAGTGCCGCAGTTTTCCAACATTACAACTGTTCTTGGGCACAGTGCCAGAGCTGATAGTCCAAAGTACCACGTTTTGTTTCATCCTCTTCTGCCCACAATGAAATGTTTCTCTTCAAACCTTCATCATGTAAAGAAGCCCACCGGCCTCAGTGCTCCATGTGCATACATGTGTCTCTGTATGTGTTATTTATGTGCGTGTTTAAATGTCCTCCTATATCTAAAAGGGCTTCGACTGGAGCCGTAATGGAGGTCCGGAAACTTTAAAACTTTAACTTAACTTTAGGAATGGACCTCCAATGTGGCCGCCAGTTACTCGAAAAGCCCTTTGTAGTGTTGTTGTGTTCGTGTCTGTGTGCCTTCAGTCTATCGGAGCGCCGTCTTCATGTCGATCCGCGAGCGCACGTCCTGGTAGCCCAGGAGGCAGGGGTCGGTGGACAAGGCATCGTGGGTAAAAACGGAGTCGTTGTCGGAGGAGCAGGAGCTGGATGTGTCCTCGCACGACGGGGAGTACTGCTCGAAGGGTGTCGACAGGTCCAAGTACTGAGGAAGAGGAGGAAGATCAGGGATTAGAGAAGTGTTGGCGTCACATAGTCGTTATTTGACTCTTTTAGTTTTTGTGTTTAAACCCATGAATTCCAGTTAATACAGTTTCTAACTGTGTGCTGTTTGATTATTTAAGATATTAATAAAGGGTTGAATAAAGAAAACAGAAAAAGAGAGAGGCTGTTATTGAACATGTTGAGCGTTTAACGGCGTCCACTGCAAAATGGATGCAGATGGAGAGAGTTGCTGCCGTCGCAGTTTTAGACCACCACATCGGTTATGGAGACCAATTTCAGTTTTGAATTCAATTTAAAGTCTAGAAATTTCAAGTTAAAACCAACAAATCGGTGGTGTGTTTGGTGTTTCCGATGAAAAAAGGTCTAAAATAATTTGATACGTTTTAGTTTTTTATCCACTCTGGCGTTCTGGAGACATCTGGACAGCAGATTGTGGAAGAGAAGAAGAAAACGTGTGTGTACATCTTCATGACTGTATTGTTAGCATGTGTGCGATTTCATAGGAGGGATACAGTGCACGAATATGTGTGTGTGTGTGTGTGTGTGTGTGTGTGTGTGTTTGACGCCTACCTCGTCGGAGATGGACAGCAGCACTTTGTCCAGCTCCTCCACCAGCTGTTTGAAGGTCGGTCTCTGGGTGGGGACAGCGTGCCAGCACTCGCGCATCATCATGTAGCTACGAGGATAAAAACAGAGCACGCACAAAAATGATTTCAATAAATCCAGACAGTCTGTGACTTCAGTATAAAGACTATATCGGACTTCCTGCTTACAGTTCATGTGTGCAGTTGGAGGGTTTGTCCATTCGGTGTCCTTCCTTCAGCAGCTTGAAGAGCTCCTCGACGGGGATACCAGGGTACGGCGAGCCGCCCAGCGTGAAGATTTCCCACATCAGAACGCCAAACGACCACCTGAACACGGACGAAGGGAGAGGGAAGACGAGATTTATATATCAGAACACATTTATTTACTTTTGTGGTATAGGGAGGTGATTTTTTCTTAAATGTTTTGACAAGATAGGAAAGGAAAAATAACTCCAACTTGTGGATGTGCTATGTGCTAAGCTAATCTATGTGTAAAAGCTAGCTAACATAAGACTTGACTATATATTTACTTAAATATCTTTTAACTATCTTCAAAATGTGGTTGTCTTTTAAACACAGATCAAAAGTACAGGAAAGCAGGAAGTTGACCGAGGCTTGCTCCACCGTATTGGAGCACAGAGCAAAAAGGGGCGGGACTTAGGAAAGGTCAACTGACAAGATCAAAAGCTGTTTGAATTGTGTAGTTTCTTTCTGTGTTGTGTCGTTGTGCACTTTTGTTTGTTTCTGTATGAGAAGTTGAACTTACACGTCGCTCTGGTGCGTGTACACTCGGTCAAACAACGCCTCCGGTGCCATCCACTTCACCGGCAGCCGTCCCTGCAGAGCGAACACGAACAAGTTAGATCATCATTCACCACAGCAGCAAATTTCTCTTCCTGTCTCGCGCTACACATTTTTTTTCTACCAAATTCTGCCTCTCTTGTCGCTGCACGCTCGGCTCATTCCTCCCTCACCATCCTCCCCCCTCCTCCCTCCTTGTCTCCCCTCTTTTCTAATTAAGTCCCATTAAGCCTGCTGCCAATCAGAGGAAAACATCAGACATCTGTCTTGAGGAATATTGAAGCCAAGCAGGAGGAGGAACCTGCCTGAGGAGAAGGTACAAACAACCAGCTTCAACTTTAACCTTTTAGCAATCAAAATGTCTTGACATGAAGTTTGTTAGATTGATATCAACAGGATATCTTATTGATCACTTTGAGAACCTCTTTATGTCTGATGTTCTACTTGTTTGACATTTAAGTCTATTTCGTAACAAACAGTTTACATGCACAAACATTTGAGCTTCTCATTTAACTCTCACTTGTTGAAAAAAACAAAGATCTCCACTCGAAAGCTACAGCAGCAAAAGGTTATTCCTGAATATAAGCCACTAAAAACCGTCACTCACATTGGTGGTTTTCTTGTAGTAGTCTATCTGGTGGACTCCTCTGGCCAGGCCAAAGTCGGCGATCTTCATCACGTTGTCCTCCGTCACCAGAACGTTTCTAGCTGCCAGATCTCTGTGGATGCACTGCAGAGAGAGAGAGAGAGAGAGAGAGAGAGAGAGAGAGAGAGAAATTAAAGACTGACACAAAACCTCTAAAGTCAGCTTAAGGCCAACTGCTGGGTCTCCAGATTAGAAGATTAGCATAATGTTTAAATAGTCCTGGTTAATGTGCTCTGAGGTTTAATGTTTAATTTGGAGAATGGGCTGAATGCATCATTTTTTTGTCATTTTTTATGTCCTGTTTGACAAGGCTCAGGAGTATAAATTTACAGTCTTGGCCGAACAAGGAGTTTGAACTAGTCAAGTCAAGTCAAATTGTGTTTATATAACCCAAAATACATTCAACACCCTATGTTCTTAGACGCTGATTTGAGTAAAAACCGCCCAAAAAAAACTTTTAACAGGAAAGAAATGGAAGAAACCTCAAGAAGAGCCACAAAGGAGGGATCGCTCTCCCAGGACGAACAAACATGCAACAGCTCTAAAGCTAAACTAGAACAAAACTTCATTGTCGAAGGTTTTTACATTCATGAAATTGAATTTAGTGTTTACTGTTCCAGCTGTGGTTTTGGAGCGATCACTTAAAAACACGGAGGTAGAAATGATTCACTGCCGATTTTCTCCAAAAATGAAAAGACTCTGGAGTCTTAAGTCAACACATGGTGCCTCATTTTAGGGTACGTAACAAAATTAAAATGTCTTTATATAGAAACCCGGCAGTTTGAAGTAAAAACAACCCTTTGGGAGGGAAAAAAGAAAGGCCCTGTTTGCCCACATTGAATGGATGTCATTAAGTTTATTTTGGTTTTCATTCGAAATAGACGTGGGATTTGTGGGGACGTGCGAAATGAACCAGTCTCGGTTTTGTGGGTCTCCCCATAATGGAGGGTTAGTTTCAGGCTCCTGCATTCTTAGGAGGCCGTAGAGCCAGAAACCTGATGCCTACACCCAGACGACGGCTCTGCTGCCTGTTTGCTAACAGATTTATGGCAGCGCTAAAAAGGACAAAGCCCTGCGACGGAGGGACGGACAGATGGATGGAGAAGAGCAAACAGGGCCGAAGCTGCGGCAGCTCTCTGTTCAGGAATGCCTGTCTGAGACACCGGCTGGCAGACAAAGAGACGTGTTGATAAGAAGCACACAGACAGAGTGCATGCTGGGTAAATGAAAGGAGTAGAAACATGAGGGGGGGGGATAGAAAGACAAGGGACAGACACAGAAGATGGCAAGAGAGATCAGAACTGAGGAGGGGAAGATTGGTGCTGCCAGACCCGTCTGGACCAAACTCATCGGTCCGGAGGCCAAGTGCTCGAATCCAAAAACGGTGAATTACACAAATCCTAATCACAATTCCCTGTAAGTCGGCACCAAATGCCGGTTATTGCAGCCCATTCAGGGCTTATACAGCTCACAAAGTATACAAATGTTGAGCATTTTACTATCCAAGTTTCATTTTGTGGCTGTATTTCCTGCCCTGTGGATACATTTTATTGAAAAAAAAGCTCCCTGAACACAATCTGACACTTTCAAATGGCTTGTTTTATCGGACCACCAACATGAAATGCAAAGATATTCCATAAAACAGAGTAAATCAGTCGAGTGATCAATAAATCATATCTTCCTCTTGCCAAGACTTGCCGAAAAGAGATTCGGATACCGTCTCAGCTTCTTCTCCTGCTACAAGTAATTTCCTCTGTTTGAGTTGAACATACCCTTTTAGAGGCGAGGTACTCCATCCCTCTGGCAACCTGGTAGGCGCAGGACAGCAGGTCTTTGAAGGTGAGCTGCTCTTCAGGCACCTTGGTCACATCAAAGGTGTAGTCCATGCCTGGGGGTCGCCGGGCACGCAGGTACTCCCTCAGACTGCCTTTGGAGGCGTACTCCACCAGCACATACAGAGGGCCTGAGGGGGGAACACAAACAGGATGAAGGACGATGAAGGGATTGTTTCTATTGTTGTTTTAGCCTGAAGGCTTCGGACCACCATAGTTGAAACACTCACTAAATTAGGTTGTTGCAATTTGCAATAAAAAGGGGGGTTTGGGAGGTAGGTAAAGGAAAGGCATTGTTTTATCTCCAAAATAAGGGTGTGTGTCATAATTAGGGTTAACAAGGAAGAGGCTGTCCTTCCAAAATTGCTCTAATTGTCGGCTAGAAAGCCAAGAAGATCATCAAAGACCATCAGTTTATCCAGATCAAATGCTGGACAGAATTAAAACAAACAAAGATTGAATCAGAAACTCACCATCCTGTGTGCAAACTCCAAGCAAGTTGATGATGTTCTTGTGTTTGTCCATCACCTTCATCAGCTCCATCTCCGAGATGAGGTCTGCCAGATCTTTGTCTGTGGCGTCATCTGAGCGGAAAAATATTATTTAGAAAAGCACGCCTCCCCCACACTGACACCAGACGTCTAGCTGATCTCTAGAAGTATTTTTGTGTCTGTATCATTTCTTCCCTACCTTTGAGCATCTTAACCGCCACAGTGGCTGCCGGGTCCGGACAGTCCTTGTTGATGCCGTAGGCCTCCGCTCTGACCACCTGACCGAAGCAGCCTTCTCCTAGAGGTTTACCCAACGTTAAACTAGAGAGAGAAACAGCGAAAGTTAAGAATGTCCAAATGAAAACTGTACAAATCCATAATTTGGGGCTCTGGTTTCTTAAAACACAGGTTGGATAGAGCCAAAAATGGGTTGCGGGCTTGTTTCCTTTTAGGTCCCCACATGATGCGAGAGCTACCATGTTTAAATAAGTCTGGATCCCAGAAGCCAAACTAAACTTAGTGAGGAAATACTCTCTTTGCAAGGGGCAGAACTTTTCATAATCACTTAAAATGTAGGAGTAGGTGTAATTCTTTTCCAAAATATCAACTCTGCAAATAGTCACAGAAGTGTTTCTAAATTGCAGATAACTTACTTCTCCCTGGGGAACTCCCAGTCCGGGTCGTAGGGCAGTTCAAACTCCATGACTCCAGCAAGCATTGGGGAGCAGCTGGACGAGAGGCGAGCCACCCTCATCAGAGACGCGCTGGACTTCCCTGAGGAGTTGGATTCCACCGAGTACTGAAAGAAGAGATACAGAAATGGAGGTTTTAGTCATCAGCCTTCAGGAACATACCAGAAGGTTTCAAGTGTTCTGAACAGCTATAAAAACACTTCAAATGTGGTCGGATCCACTCTTCATACAAACTTTAAAATGTAGACAGACTTTATGACGTACCTGTCTGCGAAGAGGAAACTTGGAGAGCTTCTGGACAGGGAGGGCATCAAACGGCTCCCTCCTCGGATGGACCTGCATTCGACACAACACCACAATGACGAGGGCCATGATCAGAGCCAGGAAGCCACAGGCGTAGATGATGATGTCGGTGTACTTGGTCTCCATGGTGTCCATAGCAACTGCTGCTTCCTCCTCTACAAGAAGAGAAGGGACAGGTTTTTAGGAAAAATATTTCTACCCTCGTGAAAAGGTTAGGGTCAACTTGGTGCAAGTGTTCAAGCATATAAGTAAACTCCAACAAAGTCAGAGTGTAAGTGGGCTGTGTTTGTTCTTTACCTGAGATGACGGTGAGCCAGGCGGACTGGTGGGCAAATCCGATTGAATTTCCAGCCAGACAGGTGTACTCTCCTGCATCTTCCATGGTAACTTTGGACAGGTAGAGAACCTCCACCTCTGACATGTTCAGACTGCCAGTCTGCACAACACACAGAGTGACATAAAAAGTTATACAACAGTCATCATGATGGTAGTGTTTTTGATGGAAAATCAGTTTGTAGATGTAGACCCGTTTATGTGCTACCAACCTTGAGGATCTGAACATACGGTGTCCCATCAGAACCGTAGCGGCTGCCGTTCCTTTCTATGTGTTTGAGCCACTGAATGTGAGGCTGGGCGTCGCTGTAGACCTTACAGTGGAACTGGACGTCGCTGCCCACCACTGCTGTGGTGTTGGCTGGTAGTCCGGCCTGCAGGATAGGCCTGTGTGGGGAACGCTCTGCAGAAATCAGAGGAAAGCTGAGAATTAAACTCCAGATCAGTAGGAGCTTAAAAGATTTTCTTCTTTTCAGGGTGATTCGGGGACATGGAGACAAGAGATTTAACTGATCTACCAATCTTCATTCCCCTCTCAGCAGGAGTCCATGTAGGCAGGACAAAAACATCCACATATTTTGGCTGTTAAACAGCTGGCAAACATGACTGCTTTGTAAACAAATGTCTAAAAAATGCCCAGCAGTTGTCGCTGTCACCTATAATGTGTTTGTATGCTGGCAAAAGAGCAGGAAATCGGTTCCATTAGCGTGGCTCTTTGTCAGCTGGTCGCTGGGCTCTCTTTGATCTGTGGTTACTCTCGCTCTCTGATCTCGTTAGTTGTCTCGTTAGTCATGTCCCCCCGTTGATGGGGACGGAAACTGACCCCGTGGTGGACAGACAGCGAACAAATGAACAAACAAACCGCAGCCCTCCTCAATCCCCCGTCACAGGTCAGGTAGAAAACTGGTGTAGACGCCTGAATGTCCACATCCTGCCCGCAACGGGTGACGCCAGGCGCCCCTGTCACCTTCTGCTCAACCCCCCCCGGTTATCCCCTCACTGAGACTGGAGGCTTTTATCTGAAGGCATGATGCTTTTTCTAATAACTGCTGCTGATCACAAAGCACTGAAATTCTGGTTTAAAGAATAATCCCTATGTCAGTAATTCAACCCATATCTATGACGTAACTTTTTAATTTGCTCTTCAAAACAAAAATAAGGCCCAAAGACAAAAATACCCTCAAAACTACAAGAAACAAGGGCACAGACTTGCACACACTCTCTAAAACTTGCCATATAGCGCTGAATCATCGGTTTCTTACCCAGAACATCGAGGACGTAGCTGTGAGCGATGGAGCCGTACTTGTTCTCCACCACGCAGGTGTAATTTCCTCTGTCTGACGGCACAACGCTCTCCATCACCAGGCTCCAGTGCTGGTGTCTCAGCTTGCAAAAAAAATAACATCAGTGTGATTAGACATCTAATGACTGAACTCAAGTATCGTTTGAAGCTCCCAGATCATCAGGAAGTTAACAAACTGCTGCCATCCTCACCTTGATGCCCCCGATGCGGTGCTCTCCCCTAAATTCACGTCCATTTTTGAGCCAGCGGATGCTTGGCATGGGGCTGCCCATAGCTGGACAACGGAACTTCACCGTGTTGCCTGCAGGAACCGCATACAGCTTCTTCTCCATACGCTGGGTGTGGGTCCAGTAGGGTCCTGTATGGACAAAGACGAGCCAATGAACCAGAATGCTCTGATGAAGCCTGGAGGTTGAGTATTTATTCCCCAGCGATTGCAGCTAGTAATCAAACAGCAACTCACCTCTGGAGAAGTAAACCTGGTCGTTTTCGATCTCAGCTGACGAGTCCTCCAAACCGTTATCCTCGTCATCGTCTCCCGACCCCAACGAGTCTAGAAACATGACAAATGAAGGAAATAAGAAAAAACACTCCTGAAGGCCAAGTTGACTACCATTAAAATTATTGGTAAGACCTGAGTTTACTCAATATGTCAATATGGCTGGAACCAGTGAATTTTGGGCATTTTTGCTAAATAAAATACGTTTAATGATTTACCAGTTATTCAAATTGTTGGATATTAGCTTTCTTTCAACGAACAAACCAAGAAATCGAACATCGTTTTGGCTCAAATTTAGTCTTACATCAATTTTGGCAGCCATATTGGAGATCCTCAGCTTATTTGCAAGAATAACTTTAGGTTAGCATCCGTTTAACTAAACTAAACTGTTAGTTAACAATGTTAGCGTCCCTACCTGCCACAGTGATGGTGAAGTTCCTCACAGGCTCTTTGCTTCCCCGGAGAACACAAACATAAATGCCTGAATCCTCGTAGGTGACGTCTGTGATCTCCATGATAGCGCCGCGGATCTGGATGCGAGGCGTGGGCAGAACCCGACCTCCCTCCTTGTACCAGTTCACCGCCATGCCGGGCCGGGTGCTCATGTCGCAGCGCAGTTTCAGTACGTTGCCCGGCTCCAACAGAAGATGTTCGGTGGTGTCTTCACTCAGGTCCTCGAAAACATCTGTCGAAACATCAGCACAAGAGGTGTTAGCGCGTCTTCTTCTCAATTTTTATTTTTATACTTTCTTACAGACAGTCAGCAGGTCATTTCTTTATCCCTTTAAAGCAAGTAGCCATCCCCTCAACTATGACCTTCACCTCTTCAACCCCATTATATACTCCCCCGTCCCCACACAAACACACACAATGAAATTACCATGGAGACCAGGAGGCCTAACCAACCCAACCCTCCTCCACACAACCCCTCCCCCTCCTGCAGACTCCCTCCCTATCATGCTCACTCCAAAAAAAGAAGAAGAAAAGGATCGTGGAGGACTGAAGCTAATGAACATGTTGCAGCGTGACAGTGGACGGAGAGTAAATCTGAGGGGCGGTGAAGGTTCACTGGAGATCTAAGTGAGCGAAGGGAGAAGTTCATTCCATCCTGGGGAGGAGGACACCGGCGTTTACATGGCGTTTTACATGCTTGTTTCTTACATTTTTACAGCAGTATAAGTTGCTGGAGCGTCAATATTTCAAGACATTGTTAAAATGTACCTGAGGGGATTTCAGCAGCAGTCAGATCCACAGTTCGGGAAATGATGGTACCTGTTGAAGGGAAAAGTTGAGGTTAGATAGATGCTAAATTGTAGTGGTAGAGTCACTAAGGGCTCCTTGGATAAAACTTAATGGCACAAAAACTAGTAAGAAACACCAAAATGTTGACAGTGTCTCACCAGGAAGGACCTCCAGCCACGCCGACTGCATCGCCTGCACCGTCTGCCCTGCGTGTGTGCTCTCTGCCATGCAGATGTACTCGCCCGCGTCCTCCAGGGTGATGTTGGACAGGTGCAAAGTGTTCACCTTGGACGCGTTGCTCTGCAGGGCCTGCAAGGGGGAGGAGAGATCATTTTAACGTCTTTTTTAAATACAGTGAATCTAGTCCGAGCAATGAGATCAGATCATGATTCGTTCTCACCGTCAGAGCTCGGACGCGAGGCGCGTGTCCTCCCTGGCTGCGTCCCGGGGCGCTGGCCTCCGTCTTCAGCCACTGCACCTTTGTGGACGCTGGTCGGTGGACTTTACACACCAGCTTCGCCTGACCGCCCACCAACCCTGTGGTGTTTTCTGGGTAACCTGGAACGATCAGAGGCCTGGAGACCCGAAGATCTGGAGGGTGGAGATGAAAAAGAGAAAATTAGTCATACTTTTAGATCCTGTGGGTGCTTTTGACCTCATTTTGAGATTGACTTCCATGCTGCTAACTGACTCCTTGCACCCTATTTTAGGAGCTTTTCAACTAAATGAATCTTATTTACTCTTAAAGTAACAACACTGTGTTTAAAAGAACCAGATTCCAGGTGTCAAATTCCAGCTATATCACAGAATAAAGGAGCCTAGAGTTGAATAAAGTGCTACAACCCTCCTTGGTCTGACAGCGCCCCGAGTGAACAAGACAAAAATTGTCAAAACACACCCTGGTGGTTTCAGTTTACCTCTGAAAGGTCTGGCAACAGAAGCACACCGTGTTCCTAAACAACCGCTGTCATTTAATTCTACCAGGAACCGACGATAGAGTGCCCCGATAACCCGGCAACTATCGTGTCACCATCAGCCACAGTGCCATCCATTCAGAGGGTCACTCTCACCATTTATCTGCTCGTCCACTTACTTGTTGGAGCATATGTGCGCCCTGGCCGTGGACCTCGCTTACTGCTCAGTCACTCAGAACGAGCAATTTTCCGGGGCAATTTTCTGTCTGATTGCTTCCTGCGAGCGCTTAGTGAAAAGGCAATCTGTTCCCTTGTCGAAGTGAAGTGCAAGTACATGCAGAGGTAACGCTTTCAGGAACAAATACACAATGTTGGAAGCAGCCAAAAGGAAAACAAATACAAAGAAACATCACAAATATTAAGAATATAAATCCCAAAAAAGCCACAAATGTTCCTCTAATGGAGCAAATCTGAGTACAGTAAAACCATCAGATGAACACACACATTTACTGCCGTGCTAATGAACTTGCAGAGATGGGGATGTTGCCCCGGAGTTGAACTCGCAGCAGAGTGTGAATTGTCACCCAGAGGCGAGGGGGCAAACAAAACACAACACAACACAAACAAACCGCTCGGCCGGTCGGCCGGCCGGCTGGGCTGGCAGCGCAGCGGGACAATGAGGAGTTTCATGACCCGACCCGGGAACGCAGCCGCAGAACACTAAAATACGTTCTCTCCGTTTTATTAGTAGAACATGTTTTTCTCAAGCTGCAGAATTACTGACATTTCATCCAGTCAGGTCAGTTTGCAGCTTTAATTTTAAGGACGAGGGGTTGATTCTTTATTCTAACCTGCTGTAGGCAAATAAAAGGACTTTTAAAGAGTTAATTGATGTATTTTCCATAACTATAACTCCTCCTGATGCACTGATAGTGGTGTCTGTAACAGAGCTGTAATAATATTCATCAATCTATATATTATACTCATTAAAGGACCAGTGTGTCGGATTTAGTGGCATCTAGGTCAACGTAACTTTGTTGTCGACGGATTTTTGTTTTGGAATGAGATATTTGACAATTTTCTGGCGTTTTCCGTTTGTGGTTTTAAAAATAAAAACACATAAAACTACTTGTTTTGTTCCACTTATCTATTAAACTGACCCATCTAGCACTGTAGTAGCCAATTGCAACGCCCTCCCCTCATCCTCCTGAAACTACGGTGGCCCGCAAAATTATTGCAATTAGTGGGAATAATTATTTTCATTTTCTCTGCAGCACATTTTGCTTTTATCAAAACAATTTCAGCTCCTGCGATTTGGATATTTCCCATAGAAACATGGCGGACTCCACCATAAGAGGACTCGCTCCCTCTGTAGATAAAAACGTCTCATTCAAAGGTAACAAAAACACTGTGATTCTTATTTTCAGGTGATTATACACTAATGAAAACATTTCCATTACTGACAATAGATCCTCCTAAATGTTACACACTGGACCTTTAAGTCGATAATATGAATTAAAGTCATAAACGAACCTTCAAGCTCAACATCACAGATTTAAATGCATTCAGAGATACTTTGTTAGTAAGTTATAATCAAACACTTTGAGCTCTGAACTCGGCTCCGTCCTCATCTGACCAGCAGATGCACTCTTTAAAAATGCCAACCCATTTATTCTGAGCAGAGATCAAAGCAAAAGATGGCATTCTCTGGCACTCGGTTCTCCTTTAACGCTGCAAACAGCTCAGTGTCGTTATGAAATCAATTAACTGTTCTGTTTCTGCGACTGAACTCTGCAGCCAAGAGTTTAAGTTGCCAACCATGTTCCTTTAAGCTTTGTGTACATTTCCTGCGTTAATATTGCAGAGACAAGGAGGAGCTGCAGGCTTATTTAATCTGTAAAAAACTTAAAATAAGTTTTTCCGGACGAGTCAGATCTCTGCAGCACGCGGTTATAGTAATATTAGGTGTATAATTATATCTGGATTTATTTTCTCTCAGCTATCAAATTAGCAACACAGCAGAAAATAAATAGCAAACAGAACAAGTCTCTCTGCATCACATCCCTCCTGACAGGAGACTGTCAGGAGTCTGAGTGGTGCATTGTGGGTCCCTCTGACCCTCATCACCTCCCCTCTGTTGGACTCATCTTTAAGGAGGCGGGAGCCTCTTTTCACCCTTTCAGTGACATCAATGGGGGAGTTTATCTGTTTCTTTTAGACACCATGTCTCCGTCTCCGCTCAGTTATCGAGGATTGTGAAACTGATAGACAGCCGTGTTGGAAATGTAAACTGGAGGCTGTGGTTGATGCTACAGGGACGGTGATAAATACAGATCACACTAAACTTGTTTTACTCAGATTTTATGCTCATGTTGGTGTCAGATACACAACCCTACGACCCACACAGAGTAAAAAAAAAACACCAATAATTTGAATAATTTGTGCCAATTTCTGTGCTGTAATATTTCATAATTACACTTGTTTACTGAACTTACTGACTTACTTTATAATATGTTCAACTGGGAACAATAAAGTTGTTACAAGGAAGCTTAGTTTTTATGACTTTGGCTCATAAAAGTGGATTTGAATTGATTTGTTTTGTGGAGATAAAAGTTGAGATGTTGCCTCCACAGCTGCCTGTTAAACAGCCCCCAGGCATGAATTATGACACATATACACACACAATGACATATACAGTATATATATATATGTGTGTGTCTGATTTTTTTTTTTTTTTTCACAAAAAAAGTTTCCACATTAAAATCCTTAAAACTCCCTTTTGCTCGCCCTTCCTCTTTCTTGCACATTGTTGTCTAAACTGCGAGCCCTCCCGACGGGCCTCACCTGACCACAGAGACGGAAAGAGACAACGTCTGCACTCATCAATCTGCACACTACCACCTTTATTAAAACCCTCCGTCTGAAGAGACTTTACAGCATTTTGCATTGAGCAATTACGCTGATTACACCTAGACTCAATGGAAACATTTAAAGGAACTTAAAACCCGACAATGGCTGACTTATTGCATCGACTTCTGTTTGCAAAGCATGAATGAAAAAGCCCCCCTGCAGCCCCTCCTCCTCCGCTCTTCATCCTCTACAGCTGGCACGCAGCCAGGCAGATTTACACTTCCGAGCCTCGGGGCCTCGGACGGATCAGGTAGCGCAGTTTACAGCAGCAAAAACACTGAGAGCCTTTCCCCCCTTCTTTCCTCACTCCTAGACTCGACTACAGACTCTCTGTCACTTTTCCTGTCACCTTTACTTCCTCCACAGCCGTCGCCAAGAACAAACACTTTCTAATAAAAGGAAAGGATTGAAACCTCCACAAAGTGATTTTATAATTCCCTTACAGCACTTAACGAACTAGCTGAGCCGTATCTTCAAATCTACAAGTAGTTACATCAAATATTTGGTGCCGTTGGATTCAGAACTTTGATCCAGTAAACGTACAATATGTCATTTCTGCCACTCTCACATCGAAACCATTACAAAGAGATGAGGTTTGATGATGTGTTAGCAGCGTGGGATCATGGGAGAATTATCCACAGAGGTCTCCACCTCTCCGAAACAAACGGACCCGCTGATTAAAACCATTAAAAACACAGAATAAAGCAGTTCCACCTTAAAAACCACTGCTGCTCTTATGAAGTTTGGCAGACAAACTATACAAAAATACTAAATAAGGTCTTTAATAAACTGCTCGGGGGCGAATGAAGAGGTGAAACAATCCAGCATCCATCCAGCCTCACACAACCCGACACTGACGTAAGGAGTCATCATCCAGGTCTTTCTTACCTTTGGTCCGTCCTTCGTCGATGGCTCTGGCCGAGGCTCCGTCCATCAGACAGAGCAGGACAACGCAGAACGTGCAGACCCTCGCCATCTTCTCATGTGTGTGTCTTGTGGTTGAAAGGCAGAAATATATACGTCTGAAGCCTGAGATTGGCCTCACACTCCGGTCGCTGGCATCGGAAGCTCCAGATACCCACAAAGTCTCTAAATCTGGATCCTGTGGAGCCAAACAGAGAAAGAGAGAGAGAGAGACGGTTATCTCTGGATCAGAAACTGGAGTCTAGAAGGAGATCTGATCGGAGACACAAACGTCTCTGTTCAGGTTCAAACCAGGTGGCACAAAAGAAAAAGATACAGACGGTTTAAGAGCCTGTTTGGACTGCGAGCAGCTGTATTCTTAACCAGATGTCCTGTTAACTGTCCCGCTCGTCCGCCTCACATTGTCCAGGCTCTTCTGCGTCATGAATAAGGAGCAGAGCTGTTACCGCCTGTTGCTTGTCAATGGACGGCGCTCGCTCAGTGCCCGGGATAATGGGCCCTCGCTAGAAAAACACTTGAAACTTGCCAGGAAGCTACAGAATCTGAAGGAGAGAGTCGCCTAGTCGGCAGCTGAGGAGGCTTCAGGTTCAGGAGGAGAACATCAGAACACCGCCGCAGCCTAAATTTATACCAAAGAACGACTCTAAACTTCATCTATGGAGTAAAACTGAGGACTGATTGGGATTTTTCGGGATAATTCTCATTATTGATTGTTATGTTCTTGATTTAAATGTCTAATATTGCCTGTCCAACAGTCCAACGCTCAGTTTATTAACACAGAAGACAAATTAAAAGCAGCAAATTCTCACAATTATAAAGTTGGAATGAGGATTGAAGATCTATGTTTGTCTTTTTCTGACTGTTTCAGCTCATTTAACTCTTTTTAAACATAAACAAGTGTGTCTGAGTGCTCTGTGCACCAGTTTTATATAACCGAGGACCCCCAACAACACACTCAAGGACCCCCGTTGGTCCAAAAACCTCTGATTTAAAGAAATTTTAATAAACAACTTCATGTTAAAGTCAAATCCCTCAATATCACCTGGACCTGAAATATTCTCCTACTTTTTTTTTATTATTTAAAAATGTCACTATGAAGATATTTGTACATCTAACTGAATCAGCACAATGCCTCATTCTGCACACAAACTGTAAACACTAAAGGAATAATGCGCTGATTTTTCTGGGGCCAACTGCGCACAGGCGCCAGACTCCGGTGCGTGCGCTCCACGCATGCAGACCGCGCCCACACACACACACACACACACGTTTAAAGCACCAGCTTGCTGAATGAAACGTATTCTTTCTCAATTAAGGACTGGAAAACTTTTTTCTCCTGCTGCTGCTGCTGCTAATTCCGCTGGCACGCTGCCCTGCTGCTGTTCAGCCGGAGCCAAAAGACTCCCAGTGTATCCTGCCCCTCGGTCACTATGGGGGCTTTTATTTCGGATGTGCTGCATATTTCTGACACATAAAATCACACTTAATAAAGCAGCCGAGCGCGCAGTTAAAGCCCCCGACTGCCCTCGCAGGTTGGACTGAGGTTGATTCACATTGATGCAGCTCCTGCTGGTGTTTTTACGCGTGCTGTCGATCAATAACTCATCCATAAATCAATATCAATGCAATAAATAACTAATAAAAGTTGTATTAAACGAGCTGTACTGCACCGGGCCGTGCAGCTGAATGTGGGGATTAATCTATGATTTTGAGTTCAAACTCCGCTCAGAGCGACACAAACAGACTTTTCTCCTGACAAATAGTCCGTGTGGAAGGTTCAATGTCTAATGAGAGACTGCGCGGGTTGCAAAACAAAAGTTGAACGTTTCTCTGAAATGTACAAAACCTGCTTTTAATTCACCGGTTCGATGCTGTAAGAGGAGAAACAGACCCTCAGTTTAATAGCTGTACGCTCAGTAATGGGGAAGGTCTCAGGCTTTAAGGGAGCTGAATATGAGGTTTCTTTTAAGGATCTTTTGGTGGTAATCGAAGCCGCCCTCCGCAATGCAACTCCCGCAGCTGAAAATGAGTGAAACAACAACCCTCCGAGACCCTCCAGCTGTCTCCGTCTGTATTCACCCACCTTTTCTCCCGGTCCGTCCGCTCAGCAGCGCTGACTGGCACCAGCCAGAGAGAGAGAGAGAGAGAGAGAGAGAGAGAGATCACTTCTGGTCCCGGTCGATACGACTCAATATTGAAATCCTCATTTGGAATCCTCCTTGTGTATCCTTCTCCAGGAGCTTATAAATCCATCAAAAGAAAGAGAGCCCGGAACATACGTGAACGACAGCTGCCGTGAGCGGAGGAAGGAGCTGTGGATCCGCTGGGCAAAGTCCGCTCAGAGCTCTAAATCCATGCAGGGAGAGGTAACCAAAGCAAAAACAAAGTCCTTTCTTGCTTTGAAAATGTTGGAAAAAGATCCCAGAATGAAGAAATAAAGACGCGTAAAACGTGAACTCTTCGCGCGCGTCTTTACGCAGCGCTTCTCCTCTCGTGGCTGTGAGTTTATCCGGTGAGATCTGCCGCTGAAATGTGGAGCTCAGCCTCCTCAGTCCGTCTACAGCACAGTGAGAGAGAGAGAGAGAGAGAGAGAGAGAGAGAGAGACTGCGTCCCGCACACAACAGCCCTCCTACAGCACTCTGCTGCGCTCCGGACGGCAGTCACAACAACAATGGTCTGAGAGTGGCCGGCCAGGGGGAGCAGGAGGAGGGAGGAGGGGAGAGAAAGAGGGGAGGGATTGCGCTTCTGTTACCCCCCCACCCCCCGCACTCCCACACAGAAAAAAAAGCCCCCATCTCTCCAAAAACCCTGGCAAATAAAACCTCTCCACAGGGCACAGCTTGCTCAAGTTGTCCCCAAAAATCCAAACATTTCATCTTTTTTAAATATTTTTGCTCCAACAACCATAAATCACTTTATTAAAACAGCTTTTTTTATATGATGCCTCATGATTTATGGTGTTAATTGTCCTTTATGCAAACAGAGCATTAAGACCTCTTTAGGAGACGCATTCAATTAAGTTGCTTCAGTGTGGGTGAATGCTGTGAATTGCCTCCACAGTTTTAATTGCATCAGTAAAAGAACAAGACCCCAGTAATCCCATTATAGCTGCAGCAGCAGAGGATCAAGATCAGCCCTGTTTTTTATCAGCTTAACACTCTGAGCCTCAGCGTCTGGATGTCACAGATCACAGCCACAAATCTGGGATTGGATTCACCAAAAAACCTTAAAAAAACATGAAAAGGAAGTTAAACAAGCCAATTTTGAGATTACACTTCTATAACAGTTTATTTCTCATTACTTACACATGTATGTTTTATTTTACGTCACTTTGTCTGTTTGCATCTGTAGATTTCACCACAATTTTGCATTAGATAAAGCCTCCTTTGCATATTTAAATACAACATTAAAGAAAACTTGTAATTCAAAAAAATACTGTCTAAATATGAGTAATTAACTGGGGAAGTTTCATGTCAACATTTATTAGTTTAATCTTTTTTTAAAGGCTGTTTTTTACACACACCAAACCTTCCAGTTTGATTCCTGTTTATATTCTGAGGGTTGTTCATACATCATTCACAGCCTGTTTTAAATCACATTTTACTGCTAAAAACATGGTGAATGAATAAAATGTATTTTTTTAATAGTTGTTTTTTCTGTTTTATAGAGAAAAGAAGTTATTCAAAATTACGTCTGTAAAAAACCTTCAACTCAACTAAATGAAACAAGAATTTTGAACCTGATTTAATCCAACGCGTTCCCTTCCCTGACGAGCTCAAGTAAACAGATGTTTTTGGGTTGTTTCTACGTCCATTTATGGATATTTATGGGAGTTAAAATAAAGCTCGAGCCTGCACGCTCGTTTCCACAATGATTGAGATTCATAAAACAGAATCAGGCTTATGTACAGCTTTATAAATCTTCTCTGCATGTGGCCGTCTTTGGTTGTCCCAGAGGAGGGTTAGTGTTTGGAGGCTGTTAAAGCCAAGTTTAGTGAAAGTTTCGCAATCACATGTTCATCCGTCACATAAGCAGAAATGCTTGAGTGTCCACAGACTTTTGGCCATGTAGCATATCAAAAACTGCCTCTTTGGATCCATGTAAATCTACTGAGCTTATTCTAAGAGAATAATATGATATTTTACCAACCGACCCATGTCCGTGTGAATGTCCACAGTGGTTCGACCCTTTATGGTTATTGTTTTGCCTCTGCTGGACAGTTTTTATTGTGAAGAGGGACAGGAAGTGCCAGGGAGAGAGGGGGCAATCATAAGCCACAAAGGTCCTGGCCCGGATTCAAACATGGTTACGTGATACCTGCTCCAGCCGAGTGAGCCACCGGGACGCTGGAACAAATGTTTGACTCAAAGCTCTGCCCGCCAACTTCAAAATAAAAGCTCCAGATAAATCACAGAGCTTCACCCTCCGTTTACTTTTATCTGTGGGTCAAACTCCTCGAGTGTGTTTAGCTAAAATTTACGTGTTGAAATAAATTCCAGATTTGACCTTTGACACGGCGCCGTGGTATTTCGGGTCAGACGGAGCTTTACAGCGAAAGTCAAAGTACACAAATAAATGAGGCAGAGTGGAAGTCATAAAGTAGATAAGAGCTGTGTTAATGCCAGCCGGCGCTGTTCACCGATGGTTTGTGTCATACCTGAACATGTTGTCGGGACATAAACCTGCTTACACACTCACGTTGTGGGGACCCACCTTCCTTATGGGGACAAATATAAAGTTTAGGGTGAAGTCTCAAGGAAATGGATGTAAAGACCTCTGAAGGGACAAAAGCACAACTGTGTGTTGTATGGATGTTGTTTACTCATGTTGTGGGTCTATAAACCTTACATACTCACACTGTGGGGACCTGCCTTCCTTATGGGGACAAATCATTTCTTTAATTTAAACACAGCTTTTAGAGTGAATACTTCGGTTAGAGTAGAGGTAAGTTTCCAGGAAATGGATGTAATGAAGAGACCATGAAGCATGAAGGTTATTATAGTCCACTAAAACTAAACTAAAAAAACTTCCGTGTGAAAAAACATTTAACTGAATTAAACTGAAAAGTATATATAAACTAGTCTTTAGAAAACAACTAAAACCATACTGTCTACTTATAGAAATAAAATAAAATAAAAATATACAGGAAATTTGTTTTAGTTAATTTAGTCAAACTGACACACAACAAGCATCAGGAGTCATATATTATAATAAAAAACTAATACTGAAACTAATACAAATTGAACTACCCACTGCCCATAAAACAATAAAAACTAAACGAGCAAACTCACTCTGGAAACTTACTGAACAAATAATGTAAAACAAATTTCAAAAAAATGAAAAATAAAGTGTGTGAATCATTCATGTTGTGGGGCCATGAACCTGCTTATACACTCACACTGTGGGGACCCGCCTTCCTTAGAGGGACAGCCCCTGTAATGAAAGTTATTAAATTTAAGGGTAAAGACTTGGGTTAGGGGTAAGTCTAAATAAATATAAGTCCTCTTAAGTGTGTGTTCAGACTGATAATTAGATACCTGTGCTTTGGGAGGGGACAGCAGTGTTAATGTTATTGCCTCTTGTTGTTGTGCTAATGAGATACAGGTGGGATTGCAGACGCCTCGATTGCTCCAAACACCTTATATACAAAGCCAATTGACACACCCCTACATTAAGCATTTAAAGTAAACACAACATGTGTTTTGGGGAGCCAATTTTATCTATTTAACATCAACTCATGTGCCAAATTAGAGATAACAAAGAGATGCTAACACTTTAGCACAATGATACACAATTATCGTTATCTCTCGTAAATGATAGAGACGGTGCTGAAGTTTAATAAGTATAAAGTAATGAGACCGACAATAGTTTAGAGACCAGAATACATTGCAGCTGCGTGATAGCTTCAGTTAGAGGTGCAATCAAGGACATTATGCACATAAATAATTTGGACTTTTAGTGTTTTTATTCTGTAACATGATTCAGTTTTATCCATAATTCTGTATTTATTTTTATTTTGCATGTCCATGTTTTATGTTGGATGTTTTCTTGGGCAAGATTATGTGAAGATGTGAAGACATTTATTTCTTTTTTTGGTTTATTTTTTTAGCAGGGACGTGTACGTTAATAAAACATTTCTGTAAATGTGTATTAAAACAAAGTCAACCGAAAAACAGAATATTATATTAAAAAGAGATGTCCATGCTTGATGCTTCTGTTAATGTTAATAAAAGCATCATTCTGGACACTTAAACTTCAGCTACTATTAACTAACTGGGACAGAAAACTACACGTCTCTTTTTCTTTTAGCATCTGTATTTATTAACTTTACACTGTCCCTTCTTTAAAAACTCACAAAGGTTCCTCTGTACCTGACGAAGAGCAGCTCAGACTGGGAGCATTCACAGTGTCGCAGAGCGGAAATCACGGTTGACAGTTTTTAAGAGAGGCTCCAGTCCTTAAGCTAAGCTAATAACCTAGCTTCACAGGAGGCGCCGTGTCCGACAATTTCCACAACTTTCTGGAGCTGACGATCTGACGTTAACGCCCACTTCACGCCGCGACTGTTCAGGGCCAGTCATGAACGTCTTCCTGTCTTCCTGTATTTAAACTTTATCCCATTTTCCCTTTGTTCCAATGACTGCTGGCTTTTAAGTTGTTCTTCTAAATGTTGAAGCTTCATGTTGTAGTCAAACATTTTCTGGAGGGTCGTCTGAAAAAAACAGGAAGTCACAAACTGAAACAGAAGTAAAGGAGAACCTCGTTTGGTCTGTAAATGTCAGAAAATAGTAAAAAATATCCAAGATGCTGCTGGCTGATATATATATATATATATATATACAGTATTTATCTTGTATAATTATGGAAGTTTTCACAATAAAATCAGCGTATAAGCATTGGTAAACTGTCAAGATACAGTTTTTGTCAGTGAAAACAGCAATAATTACGGTAATTTCACAGATAATGACTTTTATTACAGTTTAATAACTTTTAAAAATTCAGATTAAAATAAGAAAAATCAAATAACAACAGCACTCTAAACTAACTAAATTTAAGCCTGATTATTTGTATTATAGCAGAGTTCAACTGTATTTTTACAAGTCTGTTATTTTCTGTTATTTTACTGTTTTTTAAAATATATAGTTCTTTCCACTAATAAAGTAAATTACAACAAATACAACCTCAGTGCTATATTATAATTAATCGGAGACCCTTCCCCTCGACCGGGACCAGACCCCCTTTATCTGATGACATCAGAGATATGGGGGATCCCTCCCGACCCTCCCAGTGCCCCCGGGTCCAGATAGCATTGATAGCCTGCTGCATACTGATGTTAATGCTAATGGAGAATACCAGGGCTGGTTGGTGCCTGACAGCTGATAACAGAGTGTTGGGGGGTGACGTTGGGGTGAATGATAATCACTGGGGGTGAGGTAAGGTTAGTAGTGTGTGTGTGTGTGTGTGTGTGTGTGTGTGGGAGGGAAAGTGAGGTGGAATAAAGGTCAGGAGGAATGTGTGAGGTGTGGTCAGTCGCTCATTAGTCTCCTTCACAGCAGGGACACATTATGGAAACATCAGGTCCCTTTTACATTTAAATTTCTGGCTGTTTAGTTAATGATCCTCTGCAGAATGAACATGTAAACAACAGTGTCTT